TTCTCTTTTTTTCCCCCCAAATACCCTACATTGTAATGGTTTTGGCCAACATTATTGAGTCTTGCAGGGCCTGCTACCTCTGCAGATGCAGTTAGAAGAAGCTGAAGGGGTAGTTTTTTTTCCCCAAACAAGGGCAGTCACTGACACTACAGACTCTACAGACACTACAGACTGCAGGAAAGCTTAATTCTTCTCATGGTAGAATGGATGTGAGTAGTCAATTGTCCACTGTTTTTCTGTCTTTTCATTTTTTTTATAAATCCTTTATTGTTTACTTACAATTACTCCTGCCCCCTATTTGTTATAATACAAGTTAGCAAATGGAAAAATATTACAAACAATAATTAATCAAGAAAGATCTCACTTCCTTTTTTTAAATCCATATAATATAATTTTGTCAATTCAAAAATGCCTGGTACTGCATTGCCAGTAGGTCAGTTGGCTGTTTTTAAATGCTTTTTATTTTGTATTATTAAAGGAATATTGGCCCTTTTACCTAGTGTGTGCCATAACACCTTTTTTTCCATACCATTTTATTTATTTTAATCTGGACATCAAGATTATTGCTTGTAAAATGTTTGCCGAACCTTCGCAGACCGAGGGAGCATAGAAATCAGTTCTGGCATACCACTTTAAATTTGGTGCTCAGGAGCACTCACAGGATTGTGCCTCTTCCAGTACAGACCTGTTTTCGCGACTGGGCGTTATTTCCCGTGCGAGTGGAGAGTGGGAATGATCTCTCCAGCTTTGCATGTTGGTGAGGAGCACCCGAGGACACGCCACCCCAGTAAGTGTATATTACTGATCTGGGGTCATCTGAAGGTGGGCTTGGGTGTTGAAGGGAAGGTGCACTGCAAGTTGGGGTTTCTCATTTGTTTAGATTTACAGAGACTCAACTCTGGAGTCTCAATCTCTGCCTGAAAATAATGAGACAGACTCCAGATACTTACAGGTGTCCCTCTGTGCCTCAGACACTCACCCTGTTGCTGCCTATGGTCTCTTCCATGAATGTGTGCCATCAGAATGGCCCCTCAGTGGCCCTTGGCATTCATGTCAGTTGGCAGCAGGATGCAGAGAGACCCCAGTCATGTTGGAAACAAAGAAGAACAGGAAAAAGAAGGAATTAAAAAAGAAAGATATGAAACACTGCCAGAGATTGAGAAATAGGGAGAGAGTAGACATAAAGGGTTTAGCCAATTGGGGAAAGGTGGAGGAAGAATAGAGAGAGAGTTATCTGTTGGGACTGGCTGTGTGTGTTTGTGTAAGAGCCAATGTGTGTGTGTGTGTGTGTGTGTGTATGTAAGAGCCAGTGTGCGTGTGTGTAAGAGCCAGTGAGTTAGTTTGTGTGTACATAAGAGCCAGGGAGCGTGTGTTTGAGCCAATGTATGTGTAAGAGTCTGTATATAGGCCCCCCTAGGTCCCCTGTATGTGTGTATGACCCAATGATTTAGCCACTGAGTGAGTGAGAGTGTGACACAAAGGGGTTAAGAGACCAAACAAATGGGAAAAGACATAAAAGCATTAAAAGAATGACAAACAGGGGATCCAATATGCAAAAAGGGTAAAAAGAAAGAATAAAGACGGCAAGCCGCACAAAAGGGTGCATAAAAGGGGGATATGCGACTGCCAGGTGAAGACGAAATTTGTGGTTGGCAAAATACGTCTTTGCCTGTGTAGATAAAATCCTTGCACTGGCTCTGCACACCGCCCATGTTCCCCTCACAATCACCCTCCCACCACATGTCTCCCTCACACATTCTGCCCTCCCCCCATGTTCCCCTCACACACACACAACTTTACTATCATGATATACCAAGTTTATGCATTAACTTTTCATTTTCATATAATATTAAGTTTATATATTTATAACTCATCGTCATGGTACACCTAATTTTTTATATAATGCTCATTGGCATGATTAACAAGGTTTATATGTTTACTGCACACTTACTTAAAATACAAGGTTTATGCATTTAATAAATTAATAGCATTCTCTTGCTCCTCATGGTATATATGTGTGACTGTATCGATGTGCTTTTAAGTGAGTGAGTGTGTGCGTGCATGACTGGAGGGGGGTTCTGGTGGAGTTGGAAATATATGAAAAATCAGACCTGGTTACTAAAACTTTTGAATCTCACTACTGTATTTACCCACTGTACCCCATTTCATTTAACTCCCTTTTTACTGCAGGCTCATCAATTAATTCTATTATTTCAAACCAGACAGACATACAAATATCTAATATCTAAAATACTGGAAAATTCTAACCTACGCCTCTCACTACTATCATTCCACATAGGCCCTTAGTACCACTGGACCAATTCTCCTACTGCCATCTCCGACATTTTCTTCATTCATTTTCAGATGAGTACTGCTGGCCCCTATACAGTTTTGAAACTATGTGCTCCATGCAATCAGTCCCCATTAAATTTGTATCTATTCGTCACACTAACGACTGAGTAAACAAGATAGAAGACAACCAGGCCACACAAATACAGCAACTCCAGAACCAAACCACATACCAAACCATGATAGACAACTGAGGACGCTTAAACAATCACTGCATCAAGGGCCTGGGCGCAAGTGATCACAAAGATCTCCCTTCGATCCTGGCGGAACTCTTCAACCTGGTACTGGGAAGGGCCCCAGGTATGCCTGTACTCCTAGACAGAGCCCGTAGAGCACTCTGAGCAAGGGGCGCCTCCACAGACTCTCCCAGGGATGTGATATGCAGACTCCATATACCCCTGCAGATATACCCAGACATATCCTAGGGAACACTACAAGCCAGAAGGGAGCTCAGACCAATTACCAACCTGCTCCAGGCACAAAACAGGTTGGGCTCATGAAACAGACCTGTTCTACCCTTCATGAAGTCTTGGCTCATGTTTGGGGGATTTGAGAACTAACTACACTCTGGGGATTGCTATAATCACTATTCTCCCGAGAGTAAGCTCTTGTAAGAGCTTGTTCCTGTTCCTGCTCTCTGGATTCTAAGAGAGGTCTACCTACTGGAAGCTGGATCCTGGTCTTGGGTCCAGAGTGGGTGGAAAACGGTGAGACCCCAAGTCTAGTGGAGTGCTTGGAACCCTCGGAAAGCACTAGGAGCACCCGTCAATGGAAGGTACCCAGTCGGGGTGCCAGGTGATCCGTTACAGTAGTCAAAAACATACCCCTTGGCAAAGTTCAGGCCCCGATGGCTTCACGACCAAATACTATAAGATCCATTCACAGCATTTTTGGATGTACAAAAATTTATGAGAAATTTAACTTTAAAGAAATTCTTTGTAAATAATCCTATTCCACAGATCAAGACCAAAGAAGTTGATAATTTTCATCATACCATCTTAAAAAATAAATCCAAGTTTTGTCCAACAAACCAAATGAGTGGTCCAATGTCAGCTTTTAATTTGGCAGTTACCGCAGATATAGAGAAATTACCTAAAAGAATTTCGAAACATAACCTGAATTTAAACATTTTGGAAAAAAGAGCATTAAAAGAGCTATGTGAAAATAGAGATATTACAGTGAAACCAGCGGATAAGGGAGGGGGGGTTGTCATTCTCAACACCAAGGTTTACGATATAGAATGTAGGAGGATACTTAATGACTCATTAACCTATAAACAATTACAGAAAGATTCTACTTTAGACATGAAAAATAACTTATTTAACATTTTAGAAAAAGGAAGATTCTTAAACATATTAAGTAAAAAAGAATTGGAGTTTGTTATGGTTATCCATCCAATAAAACCTGTGTTCTACCAATTACCAAAAATTCACAAAAACCTGAAGAATCCCCCAGGCAGTCCCATAATTTCAGGGATAGGGTCCCTAACATGTAATTTATCACAATACATTGATGAGATCCTACAGCCCCTCGTGAAGAAAGCTAAGTCCAGTGGGGACTTGCTGAAAAATATAGAAGGCCTCAGATGGGAAGAAGACTTTATTATGGTGACATGTGACGTCACATCCCTTTATACTGTAATAAAACATGATTTGGGAATTAAGGCAGTGAGGAAAACTCTATATGAAGACCCCACTATGTTGATAGAACAAGTAGAGTTCCTTATTGAATGTATAGATTTCATACTAAATAATAATTTTTTTTGGTATGAAAAGGACATTTATCTTCAAGTCAATGGCAGCGCTATGGGGACCAGGTTCGCTCCCAGTTATGCTAATATATTCATGGCTCATTGGGAGAACTTGTTTATTTGGCAGGGCCATCAGTGGGGGGCGAACCTGGTCTTCTATAGACGGTACATTGACGACTGTTTTTTTGTTTGGAAAGGAAAAGAATCAGAGCTACTGAAATTTCTTGCCTATATTAATGATAATGAGTATAATTTGACTTTTACATACAAATTCAGCCCCACAGAAATAGATTTTCTAGATCTAGTATTATATGTAGACCAACAAGGGGTTTTAAAATCCAAAACCTTTTTCAAAAGTGTAGATGTGAATAGCTACATCTGGACTTCTAGTTGCCACTATCCCTCTTGGCTATCGGGAGTTCCCTTTAGCCAATTTTTGAGAGTGAAGAAGAACTGCACAGATCCGGATGTTTGCAATTCACAGCTAAAAAAAGTTAAACAACAATTTGTGGACGAGAGTTGTTTAAAAACAGCTGTTCAGAAAATACAAACTATAGAACACTCAACACTTTTAGCCAAAGAGGTAAAACAAAATAATACTATGGGAGATTTTTGCCCCCTAGTTTTTAACTATAGCACCCAGGCAGGTTTCCTGAAAAAAAGTATACAAAAACATTGGCACTTACTGTGTCAGGATCCGTTTTTAATTGAAGTCCTACCTAAAAAAGGGGTGTGTTTAGGGGTGCACCCACACTAAGAAATAAATTAGTACATAGCTACAATAAACCCGTGAAAAACAATCATTTTTTTAACAGAAAAAATGTTTTTTATAAATGCGGTACATGTAATATATACAAACTAAATCCAAAGGAAGAAAATTATACCACCTGTAACCCCTTAGTGACCAGGCAATTTTTCAATTGTAATACCGTTAAGGACCAGGGCTCTTTTTCTGCAGTGGCTGTATTTAGATGTATTTGCCTCTTATATATTTACTGTGCCCACACATATTGTATACCGTTTACCTCACTATTAAATGTTCATTCTAAAGATACCATTATTTTCATCATATCATATGAATTACTAGAATAAAAAAAGTGAAATATGATGAGACATAAAACACAGCTGGCCATCAGGCCCCCATGTCCCAGTTGGAACATTTCTGAAGCCAGCCAATGTAATTCACCTCCGTCAAACCGTATGTTTTGGAAAAGTACACAGCCTAGGGCATTTCACATGGTGGCATTTCAAAACTTTGCATGCACTTATTCTACCACCAGTCTCTGTCAAACGTTTTTGTGATGTCCTTTTTCACTCACACATTCATGTTCACTTTTTCACTCACACATTCTACTTTGAGCATAAATTCTAACCTCCTGTTAGGTGTTCCTGCCAAAGGACATCCCAATATGTGCTCGGCAACATCTCCCGGGTACAACGATACCACGCATGCATATGTTTGTCGGGTTCACTGGGGGATGCAAAGCAAAATGTCTGATATGCGTTTTTCAAATTGTACATATCTTCTTTGCCGATCTACCTTATGGGGGACTTATCAGATATCCCAATGTATTTTCTTGACATGAGCATGCATGTATTTGAAAAGTTGACACCCTGCAGTAGTTGAAGAACGCGTGTGGAGGTAACTGTTCAATCCTCATTTTCACACACACACACACACACTGCTTTTTGACTGTGATTTAGGAGAGCCCGCTGTTGGTTATTGCAAGAACACACCCCAGGGGGTTTTCTGCAAGGCTTCTCCTTAGGACACCCATGCCCCCCACGCATAGGCTTGCCAGGATTTTGGGAAGGTATGGTTACAATTGTATGACTTTTCAGTTTGAGTTGAAATTGAGAGTAGTTCTTCTCATAGGCCTATCTTTAGCTTGGGGCTTATCACATAGCCCAGTTTTATAGATCGCCACGAAAGGATACACACTTTGAAACGTGGACACCCCAAGGTATTGCATGTGGAGTGCTTTGATGCAACTTTTTTTCTTTTTTTTATAGCCAGACCAAAAATAAATAAATAAAATAAAACAGTTGAAGAACGCGTGTGGAGGTAACTGTTCAGTCCTCATTTTCACACACACACACACACACTGCTTTTTGACTGTGATTTAGGAGAACCCGCTGTTGGTTATTGCAAGAACACACCCCAGGGGGTTTTCTGCAAGGCTTCTCCTTAGGACACCCATGCCCCCCACGCATAGGCTTGCCAGGATTTTGGGAAGGTATGGTTACAATTGTATGACTTTTCAGTTTGAGTTGAAATTGAGAGTAGTTCTTCTGATAGGCCTATCTTTAGCTTGGGGCTTATCACATAGCCCAGTTTTATAGATCGCCACGAAAGGATACACACTTTGAAACGTGGACACCCCAAGGTATTGCATGTGGAGTGCTTTGATGCAACTTTTTTTTCTTTTTTTATAGCCAGACCAAAAATAAATAAATAAAATAAAACACTTGAAGAACGCGTGTGGAGGTAACTGTTCAGTCCTCATTTTCACACACACACACACACACACACACACACACACACACACACACTGCTTTTTGACTGTGATTTAGGAGAGCCCGCTATTGGTTATTGCAAGAACACACCCCAGGGGGTTTTCTGCAAGGCTTCTCCTTAGGACACCCATGCCCCCCACGCATAGTCTCGCCAGGAATTTGGGAAGGTATGGTTACAATTGTATGACTTTTCAGTTTGAGTTGAAATTGAGAGTAGTTCTTCTGATAGGCCTATCTTTAGCTTGGGGCTTATCACAGAGCCCAGTTTTATAGATCGCCACGAAAGGATACACACTTTGAAACGTGGACACCCCAAGGTATTGCATGTGGAGTGCTTTGATGCAACCTTTTTTTCTTTTTTTATAGCCAGACCAAAAATAAATAAATAAAATAAAACAGTTGAAGAACGCGTGTGGAGGTAACTGTTCAATCCTCATTTTCACACACACACACACAAACACACTGCTTTTTGACTGTGATTTAGGAGAGCCCGCAGTTGGTTATTGCAAGAACACACCCCAGAGGGTTTTCTGCAAGGCTTCTCCTTAGGACACCCATGCCCCCCACGCATAGGCTCGCCAGGATTTTGGGAAGGTATGGTTACAATTGTATGACTTTTCAGTTTGAGTTGAAATTGAGAGTAGTTCTTCTGATAGGCCTATCTTTAGCTTGGGGCTTATCACAGAGCCCAGTTTTATAGATCGCCACGAAAGGATACACACTTTGAAACGTGGACACCCCAAGGTATTGCATGTGGAGTGCTTTGATGCAACCTTTTTTTTTCTTTTTTTATAGCCAGACCAAAAATAAATAAATAAAATAAAACAGTTGAAGAACGCGTGTGGAGGTAACTGTTCAATCCTCATTTTCACACACACACAAACACACTGCTTTTTGACTGTGATTTAGGAGAGCCCGCTGTTGGTTATTGCAAGAACACACCCCAGGGGGTTTTCTGCAAGGCTTCTCCTTAGGACACCCATGCCCCCCATGCACAGGGTAAATGTAAGAACCCCCCCCCCTAAAAAAACCAAAAAACCTCTGAACGGCAAATGTTAAAAAAATAAATTAAAAATGGACCAGCGTGTGGTAGCGTTTGAAACAGTCGCCAATGCAGAGTCCAGGCTGTCCAGGGCAATCAGGACAGTAATATACACTGTCTTTTCTCTGCCCCCTCTTAGAACAGACCCTGCATCTTTTTTGGGGATTCTGCTTTGCCGCAGTAGGGGGGATTTTAAAAATGAAATGTGTAGCCCCAACTCTGCTCTCTCCCATCACCGCCTGGGGAGCAGGTGCATCACGGTACAAAATCCCCGAAATGATCTGGAGCTGAAACTGTAAAAATCTCAGTTGCGTCCCGGGGTTTGCTTTTTTGAACAACAAGAAAGCGTTGTGGGCTGCAATCTGCATCAGGTAGATTGCAACCTTTTTGTACCAGGCCCTTGTCTTTCGTATAATTAGGTAGGGCTGCAGCAGCTGATCTGCCAGATCAACCCCACCCATGTGCCGGTTATAGGCCTTGATGCACACTGGCTTCCTTGTCCTCTCAGCTCTGCCACGTACAGGGACCTCCACAGTCCCCTCAGTGTGGATGCTGGTAAGAAGGTACACATCCTTCTTGTCTCTGTACTTAACTGCCAACAGCTCCTCTTGGCGCAGAGCTGAGGTCTCCCCCCTTCGTAGCCGGGTGCGTGCAAGTTGTCCTGGGAAACCTGTGCTGTTCTTTTTAATTGTGCCGCAAGCTACTGTATCAAAACAGTACAGTAGCTTGAACAAAGGGACACTTAAAAAATTGTCAGTATACAAGTGGTACCCTTTGTTCATGAGGGGGAAAATCAGGTCCCAGACAATCTTGCCACTGGTTCCCATATGTTCTGGGCAACCTGGATGGTCAAGGTGGCTATCCTTTCCCTCGTACACCTGGAAGGCCTGAATATACCCATTCTCGCTATCACAGAGCTTATACATCTTTACACCATACCTAGAGCGCTTGGAAGGAACATACTGCTTGAATCCCAGCCTTCCCTTATACTTCATCAGGGATTCATCCACGCATATATTCCTTCCAGGTGTATAAGCCTCTGCAAACCTGGCAGCGAAGTGGGTAATCAGGGGGCGGATTTTATACAGCCTGTCAAATTGGGGATGCTCCCTAGAGGGACACAGGCTGTTGTCGTTGAAGTGCATGAAATGCAGAATCATTTCATACCTCTTCCTCGACATACATTGGGAGTAAATGGGGGTAGAGCAGATGGGGCTACTGCTCCAGTAGGAGCGGATGGAGGGCTTCTTTATGATGCCCATCAGCATAGTCAATGCCCAGAATCTTTTAAATTCTGGCACATCGATGGGGGCCCATTTGCCAAAAAAGAGTCAGGATTTGTAGCTCTGAATTGATGGGCATATAAATTAGTTTGGGCGACAATGTTCCCCAATACATCATCGCCCAGAAACACCTCCATAAACTGCTGAGGGCTAAATCCTGTGACATCCAAATTAATGCCAGGATTTGCAGTAAAGGATGGGATGTCTGGCCTCTGGCGATGAGGCACTACCCACTCCTCAGCAGTTCTGCCAGCTGTAGCAGCACGTCTCCTTCGGGCAGGGGGACTAGCAGGCACAGATACAACATCACTAGATGCATCACTAGCAGCAGACACTGTATCTAGTGATGATGTATCTGAGCACCTGGCTGGGTCAAAATCAGGGTCAGAGTCTGACATAGACGCGTCAGACTCTAGCGCAAGGGTGGCATATGACTGCTCAGCGCTGGTTGACTTCCGTGACCCATGTGACATGATCACAATCGCTTTACTTAGTGACCTGTCACAAAAAAAAATAACCCCTAAAAAAAAAATGAACAGACAGCAAAATAAGTGCTGCTGTGCAAGAGCCTGTGATCTGCAGAGTGATCACAGGCAGGACAGGGGTTAATCGTTCTGAAAAGAGCTTTTGGGTCTCAAAAAAAAAAAAAATTCACAAAAAATGAACCCCTAAAAAAGAAAAAAAATATGCACAAACAGCAGACAATTACTGCTGTGCAAAAGCCGGTGATTATAGTGATCACTGGCAAGACAGGGGTTAATGGCTCTGAAAAGAGCCTTTGGGTCTCAAGAGTTTACAAATCCCTACCTATAAACACCTAAATCTCTCTAGCTAAACCACAGATCTCTCTCCTTCTCTCACTAAAGCACAAGTGAGGAGAGGGAGGCAGATCCACACTAATCAGAGAAATGGGGAACACACTTGGGATGAAATTGCTAATGGGGCAAGCTGTGATTGGATGACCCCAGCCTGCCCCTTATGATGCGGCATGCTAGGGACACCCCCAGAAGCCCCATGATTCACTGCCTTTAGAAAGGGATGGGGGTTAATATTGATCATTTTATTTCTTTTCTATTTAATTTTTTAATATATAGTATTATATATGCACTGAGTGCCAGGACCCCTTGAGGCACTCCGCACATGCAGAGCATCACTGCAATACTATCAGAGCTTCCAGAGCTCAAAATAGCTGCAGGAGTACCAGATACGTCCAAGGTCATTATGGAATGTTTTCTGCCAGACGTACCAGATACGTCCATGGTCATCAAGGGGTTAAACTCCATCATCCCCAGGCACAGGAAACACACAAACACATATATATACATATATATATTATAGTGGGGACTTAGAAAATCTTTTGCACTAGCATATTTTGGGCTAGCCATGGGTCCTACTGCTTCAGGGAAGGGGGGCATACATGAAGGCTTGACTTAAGAATTTGCTTTCGCCTGGAGCTTTTGGGACTTTGAAGATTTTTCCAATCTGAACAGTGAGGACTTTGAAGATATTTTGCACATGTTCTACCCCACCCCAGCGCCCACAAAATTACATTTCAGAGCACAAAAAGCCCCTCACAAGTTCCATCCCTTGAGAGCCACCACCTGGGTGACCAACATATCCAAAAATTCAGGCAGATCCCTCAAAGGGATCAGGAATTTCATGGAAGTCATATTTTGACCGGCAACCGCCAGGCTCACTTAGCCGAAAATAGTTCCATAGAATCGCGCCTAAGTGCCGCTGGAGGACAACCGGCAAAACTTCAATTTTCAAGCCGAAAACAGTTCCAGGGATTTCGCGCCTATGTCCCCCTGAGTCTTTTCCCTCTCCCAGGCCAGGCAAACACCGGCCAGGGGGCTAGCCATGGGACCTGCTGCTGCAGGGAAGGGGGGGGGGCCATACATGAAGGCTTGACTTAAGAATTTGCTTTCGCCTGGAGCTTTTGGGACTTTGAAGATTTTTCCAATCTGAACAGTGAGGTCTTTGAAGATATTTTGCACATGTTCAACACCACCCCAGCACCCACAAAATTACATTTCAGAGCACAAAAAGCCCCTCACAAGTTCCATCCCTTGAGAGCCACCACCTGGGTGACCAACATATCCAAAATTCAGGCAGATCCCTCAAAGGGATCAGGAATTTAATGGAAGTCATATTTTGACCGGCAACCGCCAGGCTCACTTAGCCGAAAATAGTTCCATAGAATCGCGGCTAAGTGCCGCTGGAGGACAACCGGCAAAACTTCAATTTTCAAGCCGAAAACAGTTCCAGGGATTTCGCGCCTATGTCCCCCTGAGTCTTTTCCCTCTCCCAGGCCAGGCAAACACCGGCCAGGGGGCTAGCCATGGGTCCTACTGCTGCAGGGAAGGGGGGGACCATACATGAAGGCTTGACTTAAGAATTTGCTTTCGCCTGGAGCTTTTGGGACTTTGAAGATTTTTCCAATCTGAACAGTGAGGACTTTGAAGATATTTTGCACATGTTCTACACCACCCCAGCACCCACAAAATTACATTTCAGAGCACAAAAAGCCCCTCACAAGTTCCATCCCTTGAGAGCCACCACCTGGGTGACCAACATATCCAAAATTCAGGCAGATCCCTCAAAGGGATCAGGAATTTCATGGAAGTCATATTTTGACCGGCAACCGCCAGGCTCACTTAGCCGAAAATAGTTCCATAGAATCGCGCCTAAGTGCCGCTGGAGGACAACCGGCAAAACTTCAATTTTCAAGCCGAAAACAGTTCCAGGGATTTCGCGCCTATGTCCCCCTGAGTCTTTTCCCTCTCCCAGGCCAGGCAAACACCGGCCAGGGGGCTAGCCATGGGACCTGCTGCTGCAGGGAAGGGGGGGGGGCCATACATGAAGGCTTGACTTAAGAATTTGCTTTCGCCTGGAGCTTTTGGGACTTTGAAGATTTTTCCAATCTGAACAGTGAGGTCTTTGAAGATATTTTGCACATGTTCAACACCACCCCAGCACCCACAAAATTACATTTCAGAGCACAAAAAGCCCCTCACAAGTTCCATCCCTTGAGAGCCACCACCTGGGTGACCAACATATCCAAAATTCAGGCAGATCCCTGAAAGGGATCAGGAATTTCATGGAAGTCATATTTTGACCGGCAACCGCCAGGCTCACTTAGCCGAAAATAGTTCCATAGAATCGCGCCTAAGTGCCGCTGGAGGACAACCGGCAAAACTTCAATTGTCAAGCCGAAAACAGTTCCAGGGATTTCGCGCCTATGTCCCCCTGAGTCTTTTCCCTCTCCCAGGCCAGGCAAACACCGGCCAGGGGGCTAGTCATGGGTCCTACTGCTGCAGGGAGGCAGGCAGGCTTCATAGTCCACTTAGTGCTTTTAGCATACATGCATCATCCTCCCCCGGCCCTAATGAACAACACCCCTCATTGTAAGGCCTGTTCAAATGCCTCCCACCCCTCCTTTGCAGCCACCTCTGTGCCTTAAGCCCCCTCTGGTGGATGTCCACTTACGCTCGGGCCTTAAGCCCCCTCTGGTGGATGTCACCTGTTGGACGGGCCTTAAGTACACTGCACAAGAGCCTCCAGATGCATGATAGCCTAGTGCACGCGCCTCGTATGTGCCGTGGCGCCCATGTCAGAACTGTCCGACGACTTATATATCAAGTTGTTCCTTCAAGGCCAAGCTGTGTTAGCTAGCCGTGATGCTGGAATGTTTGATTTTTTCCGTAGGACCCCTTTACTTCCATCTTGCAACACACACCTATGTCAAGTTGTCCAGGCAGGCTATAAAATGTGGAGTGAAGGGCAGAGGACACCACACCTACCGCAGATAAGGGGTCCAACAACCGCATTCACTCCAATGACCCCCTCTCTTTCTCCCCTACACAGAGGAAATGAAGAAGTAGCTGGTTATGGAGTGAGACAAAAGCTTGGCTCACAGGATGACCTTGTCGCCTGCAGTCAAAGTGAAAGGAAACAGTTTCGAGACCAGCCTCTAAAGCACAGGCACCCCCTTACAAAGGGGGTTTTCCAATACTTTTGCACACAAGACTAAATTTGTGGTGATCCTAGAAACTTTCGCAAGGTCTACCCATTGTAGGGTACCAAGGAGGATGCGTTGAAAGGGCAACCAGAGCGCAGAGGTAGGGCGGTGGGCGGGAGGGGACAGCCTCTCCAACCCGTCACACCGCTTGCCACATGGCCCATCCGCCAGGGCCACTCTCCCATTTTAGGGTGCCGGGGAGGAGGCAGGCACAGAGAGCCAGACCACAGGGGTAGGACGTCGGTGGGCGGGAGGGGAGAGCATCCCCTACCCATCACACCGCTTACCCCCTCGCCCAACCTCCATGCCTACACTCCCCGGTTTTCTGGCAGCAGGGAGAAAACGTTCAAAGGGCAACCAGAGCGCAGAGGTAGGGCGGTGGGTGGGAGGGGACAGCCTCTCCAACCCGTCACACCGCTTGCCACATGGCCCATCCGCCAGGGCCACTCTCCCATTTTAGGGTGCCGGGGAGGAGGCAGGCACAGAGAGCCAGACCACAGGGGTAGGACGGCGGTGGGCGGGAGGGGAGAGCATCCCCGACCCGTCACACCGCTTACCCCCGGCCCAACCTCCATGCCTACACTCCCCGGCTTCTGGCAGCAGGGAGAAAACGTTCTAAGGGCAACCAGAGCGCAGAGGTAGGGCGGTGGGCGGAAGGGGACAACCTCTCCAACCCGTCACACCGCTTGCCACATGGCCCATCCACCAGGGCCACTCTCCACATTGCAGGGTTGCAGGGAGGTAAGAGGCACAGACAGCCAGACCACAGGGGTAGGACGGCGGTGGGCGGGAGGGGAGAGCATCCCCGACCCGTCACACCGCTTACCCCCTGGCCCAACCATCACATTGCCGGCTGGCGGGAGGGATCAAGAACAGGCAGTCAGACCACAAGGGTAGGACGGCGGTGGGCGGGAGGGGAGAGCATCCCCAGCCCGTCACACCGCTTACCCCCTGGCCCAACCTCCATGCCTACGCACCGCTGACCTTCATGGAAGACATTCATGCGGTATACATAGACTACTTCGGATCTGGTCATTAAAACGCTCTGCGCAAACACATGGAAATCCTAGGCATCAGGACGGCCACCGTTGTCCCCACCAGGGAAGGGGACCTCAGCAGGCCACGAGGCAACAGCCTACACCATGGTGCACGCAATATCAGGCCTCTGCTTTTAGACGGGGAATGGGTGCAAACTCAGATGGAGGTCACCAGACAGGTAGAGGAGCGCTTGGTTCGCAGACAGGTAGCGCCCTCACTGGTGGAGCCCGGTGAGAGTCCAGGGTCCACACCTGAGGCAAAGGGGAGAGGGTCATTTCACCTGTTTGCAGGGGGCCACCAGGGACCACCTGAGCGAAAGCCTCTACCCAGCTCAGGCGCAGGGAGCCATATCGATCGGAGAAGGTAGTGGGAGGAAACATGTTCAAGAAATTCGGATTTCAATTGCAGAAAGTTAAGTGAGAAAACCTCCCAGAAGTCTGGAACTCTGGGTAGGCATCAGAGATCCAGCCAGGGTCCCCTGAACACCAAAGGGAAAAAACATTCTGTCAGTCTGGAACTCTGGTTAGGCATAGGAGAACCAGCCAATGTCCCCTGCCTGCTCTTCAAAATTTTCGCTCCGAGAAAATCTCCTCGAGGGTGCCCCCAGCTATTGTTGTGCACTTTCTGCACGCGCGTCATTTAGGGGGACCAACCTGAAAGAGTGTCCGACCGCATGGAAGTGGTGCCTGGACGCGGCAGGGCAGATCCGACCTCATTGCTTCAAAGGCCGGAGCTCATGGGACTTAGAAAATTTATCGCTCTTTGACGCAGCGCCCTTCCTGTCCACCAGGGGGCGCCACTAGGGGTGCAGGGTGCCCAGCGCAAGCTCCCTCACCCTGCCCGGCAAGCCCATCTGAATTCCCGCAACGTAGGAAGGTTGGGGAGGGCATCTGACGATTGAAGACATGTAAGGGGGAAAACCACCTGTCAGCCTGGAACTCTGGCTGGGCATAGGAGAACCAGCCAGAGTCCCCTGCCTGCCTGTGGGACTTTGAACATTTTCCAACCTAAAAAGTGGGGACTTAGAAAATATTTCACACTGAAAACAGAACAACTTGTACTTTTCGCTACAGCATCTCCTCAGGGGTGGCGCCAGAGCTGACAGAGTTCCGACCGCATGGACGTTTAGCCTTGCGGCAGGTGTGAAGGTCCCACCTCATTTTTGCCCAAGAACTGGAGCTTGCTGAAGGTTGTCCAGCCACTGCCTGCCTGCTTGCTTGCCTGCCCCCTGCCCCCCTGCCTGCCTTCCCAGCTGGGGACCGCGGTGTCCCTTATAAAAGTTTTGCCAACCGTGGGGGCTCCACTAGAGGTGCAGGGGACCCAGGGAAGACAGCCTTGACATGCACAACTAATCCTGTGAGGCTGGGATCCAGCAGAGGCCCCTGGAGCATTTTATCATTTTCGGCCACCGGGGGGCACCACTAGGGGTGCAGAGGACCCAGGGATGGCACCCTTCCCCTGCCTGTGCAGCCTCGGGTGGCTGAGAGCAGGCAGAAGCCCCTGGAGCATTTTATCATTTTTGGCCACCATGGGCGCCACTAGGGGTGCATGGAGCCCTGGGCAGGCTACCTCCACCTGCCCGGCAAGCACCCATGAAGTCCCGCAACGAAGGAAGGATGGGGAGGGCATCTGACAATTGAAGACAGGTAAGGGGGAAAACCGCCTCTCAGCCTGGAACTCTGGCTGGGCATAGGAGAACCAGCCAGAGGCCCCTGGAGCGTTTTTATCATTTTCGTCCACAGGGGGGCGACACTAGGGGTGCATGGTGCCCTGGGCAGGCTCCCTCCAGATGCCCGGCAAGACCCTTTGAAGTCCCGCAACGGAGGAAGATTGGGGAGGGCATCTGACAATTGAAGCTGGTAAGGGGGAAAACCACCTGTCAGCCTGGAACTCTGGCTGGGCATAGGAGAACCAGCCAGAGTCCCCTGCCTGCCTGTGGGACTTTGAACATTTTCCAACCTGAAAAGTGGGGACTTAGAAAATATTT